ACCTCCACATTCTCGGGCGTCTTTGAGACTTGATCCTTGGGTTCCTTACAACACGATTACGACCGCCGACCTCTGCTACAGAGGGCCAGACCATGAACATGAACATCCCAACCATGTATCCGCACCACCCGATGCCGCCGCAGTATAACCAGCCCTACTATCAACAGCACATGCCTGTCACACTACCAGTCGCAAGTCAAGGCCCCGAGCCTTTGAGCCCGAACAATTGCTACCTGTCCGTCCGCCAGCAGCCTAAAGAGGCACTGGTCGCGGTCAAGAGCAAGGAAAAGTTCCGGAAGCCTGTGGATCCTCCACCCATTCTCCAGCTCAACCTTCGGGATGGCGTTGACGCCTCGAACAGCTTCTTACAAAACCCGTACATCTTCCTCAGTGCATCCCTGTACAAAGCGGACAGAGATGAGCCCGTCGAGCACACTCCCAATGAATCCATGGCCGGCACACTGGTGTCGTCCCTGCATCGTCTTAAGGATGTGAATAACAAGGACGGCGGTTTCTTCGTCTTCGGCGATATTTCTGTCCGGATTCAGGGCAGCTTCAGACTGTGTTTCAGCATGTACGAGTTCCACCCTTCACGTGGGGAGGTACAGAACCTCGGCTCTGTACTTAGTGAGAAGTTCGACGTCGTACTTCCCAAAGACTTCAAGGGTCTCGAAGAGTCGACGTATCTCTCGCGAGCGTTCTCCGACCAGGGCGTTCGACTCAGGTTGCGCAAAGAAGCTAGAGGGATGATGAACAACAAGCGTTCGTTCCAGGGAGACGCAGAGCCCACCTCCCAGGCACAGATCGCACCCAGCTACGAGTTCCAGTCGTCCAAGAGAAGAAGGGAAGAATACACTCTACCCTTAAACCCAGAGCCGACCACACAGGCACCCATCGACCACTCCGCCTACGAGTACGAGCACTCCAACAAGAGGAGGAGAGAAGACTCTGGCTACATCCTGCCTACCAACTTGGGCTCTGACCCCCCACCTCTGCCAGCGTACCCAAATAGCATGAATTTGTACGCTTCCTCCACTCTCGCACAACCACCACGGATGCCATTCCACCCAGGTCATTCAGGTCATCCAGGTCATCCAGGTCACCCAGGTCACCCAGGTCAACAGGTGTACAACTCCATGAACTTTAACATGGTACCCTCGTACGTCGATCATCAAAATGTTGATCCATGGGATCAGAAGATTCAACAGGAGACAGATTATAAGGTCTAGGAAGACCGCGATCGACTTCCTCCATATCGAGATTTTGCGATCGACTTGCCCGAGGTTTGGCCCGATATCAAGATTCAACAGGAGACGGATTATAAGGTCTAGGAAGACTCCGATCGACTTCCTCCATATCGAGATTTTGCGACCGGCTTGCTCGAGTTTCGCCCCGATATCAAGATTTTGTCATGCGAGGACGAGGCGGAGGAAGAATTCCCCTGGATGAACATATGATGACTAGGTCGAGTTCACATAATACGCACACGTTGGAGAAGGCATCGCACCACGCGTCCGTCTCGTTCACTCAGTTTTCGATGGGTATTTGACTTAGCTGTCTCTACCCTTTCTACACTCTCGGTTTGCGCGTGGTTTCGGACGTCGTCGTCTCCACGCTTTTCTTTATCAGCATGGTGTTATGACGAGGGCATTATGCATTTGGGTACGGAGTCATTAATCACGACAACATGAAGTCGTCTTTCTCTTTGTTTCTTTCTTATACATCGCTACGGTACTAGGTATCACACTGTCAACGGAGAGAGTAGTAACCCTACCCTCCTTGGGATCAAAAAAACACACCGCTCACCGAACTCAAAATACAAACAATTCAAAATTACACACTGAATCCCTATGAGTGATGCGCTTGAAAATGAGACCTTCCTTTGCATCGCGTCCCCCGATGCCGTACCTGCAGCCGCAACACACACTACCAGCGCGCGCAAGCCCTGAAAGATTTGGAAGACAAAGGCGGCCACTCGGCTCGTTACCACCGTCACATGCGAAAGCGAACGTGTAGCGTAGATCTCATTGCGCACTTCCAGTCTCAGACTCGCGCTTGAACTAGTGATCGACAGCCGCGAAAACCTGCCTGGTGACATCGGGCGATGCCGTGCAGTAGCAACACACCGGGGTTTCCCGTCACAGCTGACGAAAAATGGTACGAGATTCTTGTGCGGGCAAATTTGTGCCTAACTCAACACAGGCCATGCTCTTGCGGCGATACGAAGACGAGATCTCGTGCTAGCTGGGTTCGTGGTTTCCGTGTTGGGCTGCATTCGCATCGCGCAGTGAGGATGAAGAAGGTTTGGGGACGGTTGAGTGACAGGATGAACGAGTCGCAGGCTCATCCGGGGACGAGAGGCCCTTCCATTAAGGGAACAGGTCATCGAGACCGTGGAATACATTTCTCTCGAGCCGCAGTCCATCCCGTCTCTCTACCAGACACTCCCATCTATGCAAACACGTTACACTACTCCCACCACAACCCCCATCTGCTTGCCCCAGCAAGAAAAAAACTGGTAATGGTTCGGTTCGCTCCAGCCCTTACTCGCACCACATCCCCCCTCCCTTCACTGCCGGACCCAACCCAAGCCACCCAGCCCCTCGCCTCGCTTCCCCCATCGCGTGCTTCGCGTACATTCGCGCGTCTTCGCGTTTAATCCAAGCCACCGCGCCGCCCGTCAAGCTCAAACGCCACACAGCACCCTAAACCTTTCCCACGATCGCCGTTTCACACTCATTGCCTTGAGGATCGTTGGGCCCCACTTTTCGCGTCGGCTGTATGGCTGGAAAGGGCATGGTTGGTGAGATGACGCGCATGAGATAGAGGTAACGTGACTTAGTGCGTGGTGCTAAGGGACGGTTGGGCCGAGAGAGTTTGGGGGCTTGGCAGAGGGGGAGGTGGTGATTGGTGGGGGTTTGATGATTGTTGAGGGGTTGAAAGGGGGTTTGCTGAGGGAGGCGTGGTTGGAGGGGGTGATGGGGTGGTTGTGGCGTGGTGGGCAGGATGGGTTGGTGTCGCGGTGTGAAGAGAGGAGGGAGTTCAGGGTGCGTTTAAGTTTGAAGTAAGTGCTTAATTCGATGTGTTCAGCTGACACAGAAGTTCAAAGACCGATGCATGTAAGAAACCAAATCCACTGCCGATACTAGCCAATCTTCCAGATCAGCCACGCTTTTACTCAACCTTCACTCTCTAGAAGTCCACAGATACCATCTGTCTCCATCTTCCATCATTTTGTCTCCATTCTCTCAGATACCGGCTCGACCTTTCCAAATTCACCATCCTGTGCATCTACATGACATAGTGCTGGAGTAGCGTGTAGTGCGACCGCTCAATCATACTTCGCAGTCACCGAGCCGTAAGTCTTGCCATTGACCAGCAAAGAGTACTGCAGAGACGACTGTACCGAGATGGCGACATCGTAGTTCAAGCTGTGGTATGGCTTACCCGCGGGGCTCTTCGCAGCCTTGAACTCTTTCTTGGGAACGACACTTAGATCAACGGTCAATGTGGTGATCTTGTGCACACCCTGTATTATAGTCAGTAAATGTTTCCGCAATAACTGCATGTATGGTACTGTGACTTACCTTGTCATCAGAACGTACTGGAGCCTTCGGTGAATCCGAAGCGAAGAGAATCAATTCAGTCTCTCGCTTCTCCCTTGCCCAGAAGTCTGCGCTGAAGCTGCCCTTGGCATGAATTGCCTTGGATGTCGGAAGATCTTGACCTGTGGCGAGCAACCATGACATCTGCTTACCAACTCTCTTGATACCATCGTAGGAGTCGATGTACGAGTCAGATTCCTTGTGTTTGCGTGCGGAGAATTCGGCGCAATAGCTGGTGCCATAGTGCCGGCGGCATTTGCGTGTCTTGATAGTGTTGTTCTTCTCTCCCTCTAATCCTTTCGCGGCTGCGCCTCGTACGACAGCAGACCATCTAAATCAAGTATTAGTGGGCTTTCGGAAGATCGAGAACCGGTTACTTACGCATAGGTTGGTCTGAACGTCTCTAAGCCGTTGCAGCTGGCGGCGAAGTTCTTGATCTTCTCGTACATGTATGGACTCTCGGAGAAGCCGCCCACCATGTAGACGTACTTGTAGGTTGTTAGCATAGGGACATATATCGATGACGAGGAACGAGTAAAGCAACTAGAGCAAGGTGAATACGTGGAGACAGCATGTCGCATGTCGTAGACCTTTGGGTCCGCCAGGAAGAGGCATTGATCTGGAGTGAGACTGACCTTCACCTTGACCTTCTTGTTTGCTCGCAACTGTTCCAACTGTTCGCCCATGAGTTCATAGGCGCGGCGGACGCACATCTCGAATATTTCAATCATGTCCTCTCTGCGTTCTATTAGCGTTTGAAATTGAATACAATGGTATAACTTACGGAGTGATCATGATGTCGCCGTCGCATATACCTCTGGTAGTGTCTTCTTCGATAGCACATAGGGGAGCTGGTAGGCGAAGGTAGTTCGTCTCTGTTCCCGAGAAGCCACTCTTCGCCTCGAGTATGAAGTCTTGAAGCAATCTGGCTGCCCTTTTCTCGAGAGAAGTATGCGGAACGTCCTCACTTCGGCACCCGAAAATCTCCATGAAGTCTTTGGTCCCCAAGCGGCGCTCAAGCCACTTGAAAAATGCTCGATCGACGAAACTGCCTCCGCATTGGTCACCGGTACCTGTCGTTGCTTCTTCTATGACTGTTGGATTGAGTCCAGCGATCCTGTAGGAGATCCTGAATTTCGCAGTCAAGTTAGTAGTGATCCAAGATGTCGACAACGGTGAAGACTTACAAGTCAACGGTACCGCCTCCCATGTCACAAATGATGATGCCGTCACCGACAGCAAATTTTCTTTCTCGGGTAGTCCCTATCGCAGAATTAGTAAAGTTCCTCGTCCTTGGTGAAGATGACCCCAGAAGACTTCGCGGGGTTTCGACATGTAGTTGTCAATCCAGAAATCGTGTGAGTACCTCCAGGGTAGTTGATCATGTGTTGGAGGTTACATACCTCGTAGACTCTTCATTGTATAGATGGCAGCCGCCTCAGGCTCAGTAGTCATAATGGTGTTCTTCAGTTGCGGGAACTCGAGTATGTTGAACCCAGCCTTCGCGACAGCCTCGAGTGTGCGGGCTTTGGCGACGTCTGTCCACACTGCAGGAACGGTGACCACCAAGGTGATGGCAAGGCCCCTCCACAGCACCTTACCGTATTTCTGATCCAAGTTCTTGATGAGGTGCGCCTTGATCTGCGAAAGAAAGTCCGCGATGATCTCAACGGGCAGTTTGTTTGTATTCTCCGTAGATGTGGAGACTTCCCTAACGATCTTGACCAATTGTCCTTTGTTGACTGGATCCAATTGAAGCTTCGTCCACATATGGCGTTGAACATTAGGAGGTATGAGGGCACCCCATAGCAGGCCTTGCTTCTGGTATGTGACTTCGCTCGGTACTTTCTCTTTGGTGCCGATCTTGGTATGCTGAGACGGCCAATCGTGAATGACCTCTATGTGCTCGTCACCAATGCCGTTGTCAGAGGTTTCGCAGAAAGAGACACCTGCCTAGTTAGTGGATGTCATGATCCTACGATAGAGAACTCACCGGTGTATGTAGTACCGTAGTCTAGGCCTACGATCAAACGATTGGGCTTCATGTCGACGTGATATCGAATGGCGGTTTGATGGTGTACCTTGATGCTTGAAGTATCGATGAAAGTGGCTCGCTTTGTTGTAGAAGTTGTAGAAGAAGAGAGGTAGAGTTGGAAGCAAGTAGGCTACCGGAAGGCTACTTAAGTAAAGGTGAGAGACGCGCTGCTCAGCACTTGTCTGGTTGGTGGCGAATTCCCCAAGGCCCGCCGCTCCAGAGCTCAAGTGAGGGTGATCAGCAGCTCAAGTAAAGGTGAGATGGGCTTCCAACTGCCAACCACGCTGTCCATGCGGGCCATAAATTTCTACCCTCAACCGACCTTTAGCCAAACTTGAAACACCATCAACTAACCTTTGAATCTTTGGATACCCCGACCGACCAAAATCAAGGCGCCTTTCGAAGCTATGAGGTCCACCATGAGCGACGCAGTAAGTACGCATCCGTAATTCGAGATACGCAATCCAAACTTACACAGACAATCTAGTGGAACAGGGTACGCGGCAATGATCATCGGAACCCGCAAAACGGCCAACAGCAGCGAGTCACACGAAGCCAGTCGAGCAACATCTTCCAACAGCTGCAGAACGCGCTGAGGCGCAACCAAGAGCTAGAACGAGCCAAACGAAATGTCGAACATACCGTATCAAACCTCCGAGAGAATCTGCGACGTCACAAGGATGACATAGGAAAGAAAGAAGGAAAAATAGCAAGAACTGAGACGGCTTATCGCAAGCTGCAAGCCGAAAACAGGCAACTGCAAGACGAGTGCAAAGAATGGGAGGAAGAATCCAAAGACATTGGAAGGATGTACAACCACATCATGGCGAAGGTCGTAAAGCCATACGCAGTGAAGCAGAAGCTTGACTCTCAGAGCATGACCGATGAATCTGTCAAGACACTCCTAGACACGATGCTCAGGCAATCCAGTCAAGTCAGGCCCTTGCGAGCAGAGCTCCAGCGTTTGCGAAGCCAGATCCAAGAACTCCAGCAGGACATGCTCGCCAAGGTCGACAAGGTGGATGCCACGTCCGACGACCAGTTCGCTAAGGAATTTCGCTCCCTTGCATCATCTATCAAGTGCTTCAGCCGTTCACTCCGCTTCATCGCCCACGTCAACATCACCGAGGTTCTCGACTCCGTCGCCTTACTCAACGACGTTGCGCCTCATCATTGGAATGGACGACCGAGGAAAAAGGCGTTGACCGAAGCCTGGATCTGGTCCATCCTGATTTGCTTGGTATTCAAAAGCCCCTACGCTGTATTCGGAGATCATTGCAAAGCCCTGAATGAGGCATGGGTCCAAATCTATGGGGCAGAGCATCTTCTCGAATGGCCGATTCCATCTTCGCACTGCGAGTCATGGCGTGTCAAGACAGTGGAGCAGTTGCTGAAGCAAACCAGTCCAGACACCATTGCACATGGAGAGTCAGAAGGCTTGTTTGCAGGCTTGACAGCCAGTGTGGTCGAGGTCCGCCTCCTTGTAATGAGTGTTATCTGCGGCCATTTCGAGTCGCTATCTCCCGGATTCAAGATTTCGGACATCCAGCTCATCATCGACAAGGCCTTTTCGCTGGCCTTACATATGTCCACGCAGCAATCGCGATTTCAAGTCACTTATCCGGCCGTCGGGGCCGAGTTCCATGAGGCGCAAATGCTGTCGGTGGATAACGACGATGATGAAGACATGGGAGCAAGTGTCGTGGCTTTCGTCATCAATCCAGGTCTGACTAAGTGGGGCGATGCCCATGGAGAGCACTACGACCATTACCACAGCATTGTGCCCACCCTCGTGCAACTGGAGCCGAAAGACCTAGGTGATAATCTCGATGATCACCGCCAGGAGATTGTTGACGCAGAGCCTGTCATCAAGCAAGAGCCTGGAGTGAAGCAAGAGCCTGAGTGGTGTTGGACTAGCAACTGACTTAAACGTCAAAAACCCTTTGCGGATGGAAAAGCTCAAAACTGAAGAAGAACTACTGGGGGAATACCTAGGAATCGGAGGCCGGGATCAACCGTGAACGAGTCGAGCTTGCGAATTTGGCGGAATCGAGTTCATGGTATTTTCTTTCTAAAGCGAGGGAGAGAGATACTCATAGATGGCCTTGGAACTCCTGCGTCGACTCTCCATAGTCGGACTGGCAGAAGTGAAGAGGATCAGCATGCTTATCCAGTCTATGTTATCGGTTTGCGCGAGGTCCATAGCAAATGCATTTGGATCGCTTCTTCATGTGTACGTGGACCACGTGGGTAGGACGGGAGGAATAGGTATGAAGTAGGAAGACGGGGAAATGTGCGCTATCGACAGCAGTCAGATGGTGATGCCTTCATCTGTATGAGAAATGAGACGCGATCGGAATCGAGATGAGGGTGAATGTTCACGTCAGAGGCGCGTCCGAGCGAAGCCATTTCCGCGGCTAGCGCCGAACGCGTCTCGGGCATCCTCGATACCACACGCATACGAGCTGTGCAAGCACCCGCACCCACGCATGCCAATTGCCCTTCTGCCATACTCTTTATTTTAATCACGTCTTCTATCATTCTCCATGCAAATGCAGAGCATACCATAAGCTTCACGCCGCCCCACCAGCCCCTCTCAAATCCTCCCGACGCGTCTCGCAGCGCGTTTTCTCGACACCCGCACGCAGGGCAAACCACTCTACCGCCGCCGCCATGTACCTTCCGCGAAACCTCATAGCCCACCTATACCAGAACCTCATAAAACGCACACATGCCGCCGCACCGCCCGTTTTACTCCTCGTCGCCCTCGAACCAGACGCGCTTTGTGCCTGCCGAATCCTTACCGCGTTATTGAAGCGCGACTATATACAACATAAAATCCAACCGATCGCTGGATATGGCGACCTATCAAGAGCGGCAGAAGAGCTGGTTCGGCCGATGCGGACAACAGACGGTGGAAGTGGAGGCGTCGTAATATGTCTGGGTGTCGGAGGCATGGTGGACATGGAAGAGATACTAGGCCTCGATGTGGATGAAGATGGCGAGGGTGGCACTGGCGATGTCGAGGTCTGGCTCTTGGACGCGAGACGGCCGTGGAATCTTACCAATGTTTTCGCCGCCCCCATAAGTCAGGACCCCGCAACGGGAGAGTTTGTGCGGAGACAATCGGGGGTGGACAAGGGCAAAATCACGCAGTCATACCAGTCGTCACGAGGTGGAATCATAGTCTTTGACGACGGTGACATCGACGAAGAACTACAGGCAGAGCGTGAAGCATACGCTGGGCTTGAGGAGATGCCAGAGGTGGGGGAAGAAGACGACATCAGCGATGACTCGGACGACCAGGATGATGAGGAGCCGCCATCTGGACAAGCACCGAAGAAAAGGAAGTCTTGGGGCGAGGAAGACGACTCTGAGGATGACATGACAGATGACGAACGGCCAGCACAAAGACGGAGGAGTAATTCGGTATGCATAATCGACGTTCAAACGGAGTCCATACTAACATGACCCAGGGAGGCTCAATACCATCGTCACCCGAACCGAGACGGCGAAGAGGTCTACTAGCAGCGCAACAACTAGGCGGCTCTTCCGACTTTTCTCGTTCAGACTCCCGCAGCCGCTCCGCATCCCCATCAGTAGCCGCACCGAAAGAGAAGTCGTTAAAGAGCCTTCGAAGGCAGCTGATCAAGAAGCGGAACAAGTACGCATCCACGCTCGACAAATACTACGGACTCGGTACCTCCTACTCAGACCCCGTCTCTTCTCTCGTATACAACCTAGCATCGGAACTCGGCCGCGAAGACAATGATCTGCTATGGAATGCCATCGTTGGTGTCAGCAGTCTGGAACTATACGGGCGGACAGGAAGCGGTGTTGGCTTGAACCCCCTCTCAGCACAAGGAGGTTCGGCGGGATGGAACGGCAACCGCGGAGAGAACATACGCTCTGTCCTTCGAGACGAAGTACGGCGACTGAACCCTGTCACAGACGCCTCGAGTGTGTCTCGCAATGCAACAATGGGCGAAGTGTGGGGTGTCATCCCCACAAGCGCTCTCTCAGCAACAGACAAGTCCATCCGCCTCTCCCCAGAACCGCGCTTCCTCCTTCTCCGGCACTGGTCTCTCTACGAAAGTATGCTCCACTCGCCCTACCTCTCCGCCAAGCTACACATCTGGAGTGATGCAGGGCAAAAGCGACTTGCCAAACTCCTCGCCAAGATGGGTGTTTCACTCACTGAGTGCAAGCAAAGATACACGCACATGGATATGGAACTCAAGCGAGGCCTCCGAGAGCGTCTCCTCAAGTTCGCCCCACAATATGGTCTCGATGGTCTCGTACCACCAAAGTCAGGTACAGGCGACCCCAAAGACGGATGGGGTTTCGTACGCTGCTGGGGCTGGAAAGCATGTCTCTCCGCCATCGACGCCGGCGTAATCCTAGGAGCCATCCTCGAAGTCGGCGACGCAAAGAACCTCAACCAATCCGCCCTCGACAGCTCCAACTTTGTCGGAGCCAACGACCACACCGAGATGCCCTCCTCCACGCAAGAACAACAAGACCTCGCCCAAGAACACATCACCAGCCGCTTCTGGACCGCCTACGATGCCCTCGGCGACATCGACCGCCTAGTCGAGCACATCAGCACAGCCCAACACCTCCACCGCGCCATCCTGCGCACCGGAACCGCCCTAATCGAGAAGAAACAGATCCGCCACCTGCGCGCCTTCCGCATGGCCGTCGTTAAAGAAGGCCCCGACGTCCAGCTCTTCACCCACCCAGGCGCCCTCACCAAACTCGCCCTCTGGATCGCCGAAGCCATCGTCGAACTCAACGGCACAAAGGGTAAAAACAAAGGCAGCGAGCTCGTCATGGCGGGCCTCGATGACTCCCGCGGCCTCTACGTTGTTGTCGGCCTTGGCGGCGGTGGCGCGACCGAATCTGCTAAATCACGCCTTCAGAAACGGGAAGCGAAACTCAAGGCTAAAGAAGCGCGTCAACAGCAGAAAGCTGAAGCGAGAGAGTCCCGCCGTAAAGCGCGTGTTGCGCGGAATCTAGCTGCGGGACTTGAAGAAGATGAAGTCGCTGATGACTCGGAGTCTGAAGCCGAAGAATCTGATTCCTCGGATAACGACTCTGAGGATTCTGAAGATGAGGATGAGGAGAGGGGGTCCGGCAGGAATCGATTCGGTAATGCGTTTCAGGAGGTTGTGCGGGAGACGGGAGCCCGAGTAAGAATGGACAGTTTCGAGGCGTGTGTGATTGAGATTAAGAAGGAGGATCTCAGTGGGTTTTTGGAGAAACTGAGTCAGAAGGCTGTTGTTGGGTAGATGGGTGGATACCGCGCTCAGGTATGGGGTTTTCTTTGTGTCACGTACTGGTTTTGGACAGCGGAAGGCGATGATTTGGATTTGAATTGGTAAGAAAGGGAAGGCAAGATACCACTTTTGCAAGAGGAAAGGTTGGATTTCGGGCACAGCGCTTTTGCATGATTTGGCATTTCTGGATATAGGGATATCCGTAACTTCTTTCTATTGATTCAGGCATATTTGTAGGCAGGGCGAACGATGTACAAGCGATGATATTACAAGAGCACTTAGCATAGCACAACCACAACCACAACACAGCATAGCATTACAAGCAAGCAAGCATAGCAAGCAAATCGTATTCATGCATAACATATCCAATTTCAACCGCTGAGGAGAAGAAAGGAAAGTGGTATCTTTAGTACTAACGCACAAGCAAAACCGACACACCGCTCATCCAAACTACCATCACGACCAAAAACTACTTGGTATACGAGCGCTCTTTCCTTCCTCCCATTGTCAGGCCCTCGCCATCTTCGCCGTCGTCCCAGCTGCCTTCTCCACTACTCCTTCTTTTCCTCGTCCGCTGCTTGACACCATCTGTCAACCGCCTTTTCACTTCATCCAGGTTGCCATCAATAGTACTGAAGGGCTTGAGCTGGAAGCCGCCCAGGTTCGCACTGCTGCTATTCCTGCTGCGGCTCTTCTTCGGCGTCTGCGGTCGACTAGAGAAGAAGTCTTGGTTGGCAAGGTCGTGGAATGATTCGTTGCGTGGTATCTCGTTGATGGAGCCGGGTGACGCGGGGTAGTCGTAGGTTTCGATGTCCTGGCCTGCTTCTCTTTCCGCGTCTTCGTCGGACTTTTGCGGTGGTGTGTTGGGACGCTCTTGCTTGATGAAGGGATCCTCGACGATGCGTTTGGAGTGGAAGTCCTCGTACATCTCCGGTCCGAGTTCGTTGATGATGTCGTTCACACGCTGGGCGAGGTTCTCACGGCGCTCTTGTAGTTTGACGAGTTCGTTGTTGGAGAAGGGGTTCATCATCTTCCAGAGGGGGCCGAGGGACTTGAGGATGTCCATGGCGACTTCGCCGAATCGGAGAGCGCCGTATGTGAGGGTGACGTAGACGACGAGTTGGGGGATGATGAGCCAGCGCTTCTGAATGCCAGCAGGAAGGTATCCGTTGCATTGGTTGTAGGAGTACCAGTAGAGTCCCAAGCAAACGTACCAGGCGTAAGCTGTTGGGGCGGCAGCCATGGCAACGAGAAGTTTCCACGTAGCCATGACATCTCTTGCTTGAACTTTGACGTTCGATGCAGCGAGTGCCTCTCTGGCCTTCTTGATCGAGACAACCTTAGTGACAATGAAGACCAAGCTGAAGAGCAGAGTTCCGGGAAGGACGAGCATGCTCAGGAAGAGCAGCTTTCCAAGACGGTAGAAGAAAAGCCCAAATGCCGTGATAGGATGCATCTTGGCGTATTGCACCTGATGATCCCGAAGGCCGAGCGCCTTAAGCTTGCCATTGTAAGTGGTGACTTCCTTCTTGAGTTCGACGATGCGAGGGTCATCTTTGTAGCGTTCATAACCCTGGACGAGGCGGCGATTAAGTTCCACGATCCTGGGAAGAGGAAGCTTCGTGCCTTTGGAGTTGTAAAGGCG